AAATTGGACTGGCTGTGTATACCAGCACACTAAGCTAAGGGTCACAATGAACACTGTCTTCTGGGATTCCAGGCACTGAAATCTCTCCCCAAACATCCGTGCCTGAGAAGAACTGCCTTGCTACTCATCCCAAATGAAGTAATGTAGGAATGAATACCACAGATCTCCATCTCCTGTATGGGCTCTGGCTACTTGTCAGAGGCTCATTGGTGCACCTGTGGCACTTTGAGAAAGAAGATGCATCATGTGTTTTAGGCACTCTGTCTTGAGTGGAGTTTTGTGTAATTATGTCTGTGGAGTCTAATCTACTGCATATCTGCTTCAGTGACATGCTCTCATACAGTAATCTTAACTCATTTCTGGCCTGTTGTTCATTTGAACAAACACAGTTCCTGTAGAACAACAGCAAACAAGGAAACCAGAAGGAGGGAAGAAAAAGAACTATCACCAAAGGCTAGAAGCTTACAGTTTTATATAATTAATAAGAGTAGTTGATGCCTGGAAAAAAGGGTAAGAAATGTGAATTGCGGTCAGCTAGTTGATTGAACTTTTCTTTTAACCTTTAGTCAGTTAATGGAACTTTCTTTTTTTTTTTAGATTAATATTTAAGCAATAAAAATAAAGAAAAAATCACAAACACCACAAGTATGACTGGAATTATTAATAAAATGTTCTCTAGTGGTAAAGGAGGAGATGCAGAATATAAAAGCAGCAGTTTGTCCTCCTCCTTCCCTTTGCAGCTGTAAAAATAACCAGTAAAATGTACAGAATGTCATCAGCTTGAATAGCTTTCTTGGTATCCTCTTATACTTGCAGTTACATTTTAGGAAAGTGTGCTGATATTGAAGCATCTGAGAGGTATTCTGAGATGACAGCAAGTACCTATTTTAAAAGTCATTAGTCCATTAACACTGATTGATCTCTGTCATCCTATAAAAGTTGTCTTGAATACCTTTGGGGAAAATATTTAGTTGGTTCAAGTCAATCAAACTCACAATTTACCCTACTGTACACAGCACCAAGAATGCCTGTAATATGCCTGTAGAGACTGCTGGTGGAGGGGAAGGAAGATTCTAATACTAAATATTTTCTCTTTGAGCTCTTTTATACTCTGACTATATTAAGTAGAATAGGTCAAAAATATCTTCAGACACAATCTATATGGAAACTACCAGCTTGTTTTGAGACAGTAATAGAATCTATATGCTCTGATTCAAAAACATACCAGACAAGGTAACTTATCACCTTGTTCTTCAAGTATCTTTCAAAACCTGTGTAAGCAAGGAGGCAACTAGCATTCTAGAGTGTGCCCTCTGTAGCTACATAGCTAGCAAGCCTGAGATTTTGAATGAGTCCAGACTACATGGCACAGAGCAGGAGGCAGAAAGACCCTGAAAGTTATCCACGAGCTTGGATGCCTTTGTGATGTGGCGTTTAGGAATTTGTAGTATATTAAATTATTAATAAAACTGTAACAGTAGTTTTTGGAGTTTCTACATGTTTTTCTAAAAAAAAAAAGGAAAACCCAAACAACAATCTCCTTTCCTTTACCTCCAAGTTCTTTTCAGAATTTTACATAGAAAGAATATTCTAACTTCTGATGATCCTCTATCCTTAGGTAGTTATAGACTGTGGTTATTAAAAAATATTAACTTCTTTGAATGAGGTTCAAGCAGGTAATACCATGTTACTCCTCATTTAGGCTTTGATTCACAAAGCACTTGGTTACAATTACTTAGATGATGTTTTGTTGGATGTGTCTCTAGGCTGTTGGTGCTCTAACATCTAAGTAACAGTAAAGATATGTCTTGATTCATGGATAAACTGAGGGTGGAGAAGCCTTCCTTGACTTCTCACTAAACCTTTTTATAGCTCCATATGAATGTGAAACAGCAGGGGTGACAGAATAGTTCCCTGCAGCACGCCATACTTCACAGCCTTACTAGGAACAGAAGTGATCACAAGCAGGTATCAGGGTCTCTTGGAGAAAATAGAGCAGGTGTCAATGAGATTTCCATGAGTCTTTTCAGTAGTCTCTTGCAGTGTGAAGTTTTGCTGAGCTGAGGTAATCGTTGTAGTGTTATCAACAAATACAGGGAGTTATCAAGAAATAGCAAGGTGATATATATTACGTATTTAGTGAAACTGAATGTGGCAATGATATTAAACCTGGCAGTTGTATTAAATCTGCCAGACCTATTTTTGTGCATTAGCACAGTCATTCATTTCCTACTGCATTACCTCTTCCAGATGAAGCCAGCTAAAGAAGAATGCCATAAAGATTAATCCTGGATACCCCTCTGCAAAAGTTAGGCATGCTGCTGTGGTTAGTGTCCTTTTACCTCACCATCAAAGATCAGGTGTGAGCTGAGTAGAAAATGTGCCTAATCTAGGTGACTGAACAGCAGTCTCTGATTTTGGAAACTCGTGCATTCCAGTAGTGCTTTGTGTCCACACAATCATTATGGGCATTCCTTCTGCCACAGCATTAGCTGTCTGAGAGCTGAGTATCTAAGTGGTCATTGGGCATCCATTTTGGCAGTGAAGTGTCTGATGCTTCCAGTAGAACATTCATCTCACTGCTGTCAGGGGTGATATACTGCGAACCCATTCACAAACAATTTTCAGGAGGCAAAGAAGGAACAGAAACACAAACAAAACTAGCCCCTTTCTCCTTTCCCCCCCCCCCCTTCTTGAACTAAGGATCTTAAAGACTGCTTGAAACAATATTGAGTAAAATAAGTTCAGGCTGTTAATTTCATTGCATTCATTTGACTCCTATTGTTGGTATCATTAAGTATTTGAATAGTACTTCAGCTCCTTAGAAGCAGGGAGTTCAGAATAGTTTTAGTATTAAATGCAAGGCCTACTGTTTGCATGAGTGTCATTTAGATTGCCTTATTTACATGTATACTCTTCAGCTATGCAAGGCTAATTTGTTCTTCAGCAAAATCAGATTAATGTGGAAATGTTCGTGATTTGTATGCAGTCTCTCACTGAGTGTCAGCAATGCAGCCTGAGCTGTTCAGATAGAAAAACTCTTAGGAGGAAAAAGCTGTAGTGCTAAAACTGAGTGTTGTCTGTTAAAACCTGAGTAAGAGTTAAACATGCTTTGGGTAAATATATCAAAGCCACCTGCTAGAAATCGTTTTGGCTCTGCAGTGTTCCAAGAGTCCTGTACTTGTTGGGTCTGAAAATAAATATCATGTTGCATTTCCTAGCCTGCATGTGGTACCATCAGTGATTCAGTTCCAAGCTAAAAGAAGGCTTTAAAATGGCTGTGGGAATTTGAGGCTTTAAGAATGTTCAGTAGCTGTTAAAGAAATCCAGTTTCAGTCAAAGTCTATTTATCAAAAATTGAATAAAATAGAAATTGCCTTAGTTTTTAAAGGAATTTTTGGAAATTTTCACAGGTAGTATGCTGATAGCTGCAGCATACAAAATAATATAATAAAACTTCTTTCACTGCCAATTACCTATTTCTGTAGTTCTCAAAAGTTTAACATGCATAGAATCATAGATCTTTAGGGGTTGGAATGGACCCTACAGATTATCTAGTCCCAACTCTCACAAAACTAACTGAGTAATAACAGCAGAGTTCAGATAGTTTCTGAAAAACATTAAGTTTTTCAAGCAGTGGTGAGTCTGAGGTTGTTATGAATACAGGAGAATACAGCAATATACATGTTACTTCAGAGATACAGTTAGATTTTCGGTAGAGTTGAGCTGAAATTCTGGTTTGATATTTTGTTTACTTGTATTAATTAGTACCTTGAGTCTCCCATTATGAAAATGGTCCCTCATTCCATAAACTTCTAGCTTATTCCAACATAGCCAGGCAGTTTATGTTTTTAGTTTATTTTTTGAAGCTGTATTGCATTACAAATTGTGATTCTTTCCTTTGGTTTGTCCTGGACTTGATGTGGGAACAGTGTAGAGGGAGAAAGACTTTTTTTAGCCCTCAGTAATTTGCCTCTAGTGTTTCTGTCCACTCTACTAAAGTAAATTATAGTGGGCAGTGTATATGTAACAATACAGCTGAGATTGGCCAGTATGCAGAATGCTTTTGGAAACTTTTTCTGCAGCTATCTTTTTATCTTTAAAAGAGCCTGAATAGAAGAGGTATTAAAGCTCCTGATTCTAAGATAAAGCTGTGACATAAACTGGCAGTAGATGAAAAATAGTGTCTAGTTTGTCCTGTGACATCAATAGGTTAAAGTCAGCTGTTAATGCAGGATGTTATGCTTTTTCTGCAGTTGTAGTTTGGTTTGGGGTGTTCTACTATTTGTTTGTTTAGAAGTACTGTATAGAGTTGGGATATCTAAACAAACTCAACATTTGTGTGCACTTTACATTGTTTTGGTGCAAATTATTGCCTTTAAAAAGTGCATTCATGTATAGTGACTTGATTCACTATGTGTTGACTCCATTGGGAGCTTTGAAATGGATTCCTGTGGATGCCAAGACACATGCCCTGATTCTGTGCATAGAAATACAGCAGGCAACAGTAAGAATGTCAGTGTTGTCTATAGAGACACATTAAATCACTGGATGAAAACATCTACTTATAAACCTCTGAAAATGATCATGGCTGCTTAGAAAAATATTTGGATGTCTACTCTTTACATCTTTTAGTTTGCACAAACAAGTTTGCACAAACTTTATAAGCAGCCTTTAAAAATATTTCTGCATTCCTGTACGAGAATAATTTTTAGTTTATAGTTTCAAGACCAAAAGTTAATCACTAGGGGTTTTTTATCCCAGAGCAAATGTTTACAACAGAGATACTAAACCCTTGAAAATAGGGTCGCATATAATGGAAGCAACAGCTCATCTTTAACTTTGGAAGGACAAGCAGTACCAATTTAATTAAAGCTGTGTTAAAATAGGACTGCCATTTGTATCACAGAGATTCTCCACCCCTCCGAGAAGTCCTGCTGCCATTTTGTACCACCCATTTTTGTCTTGTGCAAATTAATAGATCGTTTTATTTTCCACAGGAAATCTGAAGACTTTTATAGCAAATCCTCCAGTGTCAAAATGAACACAGGTATGCTGCATCTGTGAGATTTTTCTTTTGTGTGTTGTTTCGTAAGCAGAGAAGGTCCCAAATTTATGCAAATTTTCATGAGCATATTGTACTTTAGTTGGTGTTGAACTCAAATTAAGCAAGATATTTTAATAGTATGCCTGCTTATGTGCATTTGTATTCCATATATAAATTTACATACTTGTTTTTCTATGTATGGATATATATGGATACATGAAATATATATGCATGTTTAGCTGTCTGTGCTTCAGTTAGTAGTATCGGGTTTGTGTGTGTATGTTTTATGTGAAAATATGTAGTATGAGGACATAACAGCTATGGAAAAGTGTTAAAGCATCACACTTTCCTAAGAAAATGCACATGCTTTTGAAATGCTTTCTTTTCATTCTGTACTGTCACTGAATTAAGGGGCATATAAACACTGCCCTGTATTATTAGCTCACTTGCATATCAGCTGAGGATAACTATTTTGTACTTCTAGTGGTTTGTATTTTCTCTCATGTTCCTGTAACAGTTGTATTGACCAAATTTACTACTCTATAGGAAGTTATGATCTATGACAGCATACTAATAATTTAGTCCTGAATCACTGAAGCCAATAGATAGTGCTGCTGTTTGTGCTGGAAGTGGGAATAGGCCTCTGGAAAGCAGACTGCCTCACTTATGTCAGGTGTAAATTTTCAGTTGCAGTCACGTCTTTAGACTCCATAGGTGTACTGTCTGGTTTGCAAATTGTGCTGCAAAGACAGACATATCCATCCTTCCCGAAACAGTGGGTTTGTCATTGACCACAGTGACCATAGTGCTGCACCATGACAGCATGACATATGGGACCTGAGAACCTGAGCTACCTTTGAAGTCTGAATTTCAGCAGTATGCTCTAAATTGAAGGGCTTAGCTTTCCTGTGGTGTAGGTTGCCGATATGTAGGTCACTGTATTAATCTGGCTTCATGGCTTCCTGTTGTCTCAGACAGTGACTGGAACTCAGCAGGACCTGGGTTTTGGACAGATTTTTTTAATACAAAGTTAAAATATCTTGGTTTACTTGAAACCACTAGATTTGCAAATATAATAAGCAGGAGAAATTAATTTTCTCAGTTGAGTTTGTGGGGTTTTTCCTCAAAGTTTTGGCTGTTCTTAAGTATATTTCAAATGCTAACCAGGTGTGATTTTCATTTGTGAAAATGCTATTTGAAATCTGTCCTGTCTTCTTGCATTTTTCATGAAGATATCTTTCCTAAACATCAGTCTGTATAATTAAGGTAGTACCGAAATACAGCTTGCTTTATAGAACTGTAATTTCAGTAACTTGGCGAATCGTCATACTATGATTACATTGTACATTGCCATCATATGAGCTAGAATCGTATGATAGATGTAATTTTATAGCTTTCTACTTTGAAAAATGTGTATAAAGAGGTAAATTGCCAGTTTGTACTACTGTAGCTCTCAAGTATGACTTTGTTCCATGTTGTACAAAGATTTTTCATGTAAATTAGAAATTTTCAAGAGAAATAGACATAAATTTGCATAATTTGTGACTGAATGACTTCTGTTAGGGATTGGGAGTCTTCTGATCACACAGGAACCTTGAAACCAGACTTAAAAGACCTGAACACACCCGAAATCCTTTCCAGTTACCTAAGGATATCATGATTGTAAGGTGAACTTTAATCTACTCTGCACTTACACAGTGAAAACATTTTTCATCTTGTATATGCTTTATATTAATGTGCATGTTACCAGCTGCACAAAAAGGAGGTATTGACAAAAATGTAGTATTCCTATCAATTGTATTGATGTAGATAGTTTCCTGATTGAAAAAAATAAAATAAAAACCTGTAAGTAGGGTGTAAAAATGAACATCTTGCACCTATCTGTTGATAAAGCATTACTTCATTAGAGAGCAACTCAGATGGAAGCTGTTGTGCATGGTGTTCTTGTCTAGTTGTTTCTCTTTTTCCTTTTTTTTTCCTTTATACACTATGCTATTTGAACATGAGTGCTGCAGTTTTACTTCTTCTTTTATTTCACTGCTTCATAACAGGAATTTGTGCATGGTGCAATTAGAGGTTATCAGATACTATTGATTTGCCACTAGTTTGTTTTAAAAATTTCATTAATGACTCTTGCAGATAATTGAGCACTCTAGTTTGATGCCAGTAATTGCTGGAGTGGCAAAACTGGCGTATATGCAGCTTTAAAAAGAAAAAGTAAATCTACTGCTTAGAGTAGGCTCCTCTAATCCAGTGTTCTCTATGGCTGCAGACTTGGCAGTCTGTCTCTGCAAACCCTGCAGAAGATATTTTTGTCTACAGAAAAAATGTTTTGAAGAGCTTTGGTTTTCAATACTCTACCATATATGGGAGGGATTTTTTAGCATTTGATGTTAATTCTGTACCACATGTTAGGAAGGAATATTCAACAGCAAAAGACAATTAAGCATTTTTGCAAAAGCAAAGAAATAGAAGATACAGAGGAGGTTTTCAAAAGTACCAAAGGTACTTTGGCTCATACTTCCTTTTGGCGTTTGAATGTTGTCATCATTTAAAAAACACTAGTCTAAGAGAATGTGTGGCTTTTTAAACCCACACTAAGCAATCATCAACAGAATAACATTTTAAACTATATATAGGGGTTTTTTTCATCAGCAAGTTTTCAGGTATTTTACAGATTGATGAACATCATTAGCTTAGTGACTTGATTGGCTTAATTGACTAGATCACAGAAAACATAAGCTACCCATGGAGCTCACATCAGATTAAAACACAGGATAAATGTGTTTATTGTTCATTATATATATGTGTGCATACATAGCTGATGTTGGGGAAGTGGTAATTGCATTGAGGAATAATAAATGGGTAAAAGTTAATAGGCTAAAACAGACTCTTAGTGTCCATCTGTAAATATTTTGGCTCAATTTCACACAGATCATTCTTGATAAATGTGTCTAATTTTAGAGGTATTAAACAAGTTAGCTGTTTGCATTAGATGAAGCACATAAAGAGCAGCCAAGAGTGAAAAGTATGCAGTTCTGGACGACTGCAAATATTTTGTTTGTTAAAATAATTAATGGAAGTCATTACATGGACTAATCTCTTTTATTTTGTCTGGGAGACAATAGAATATCTTGGGCCTATGAGAGTTCCTGAATAGATTGTGAAGCCACTTTTAGATCACTAAAGTAAATTAGGTGGCCTTGAGTGTTCCAGGCATTCTACAAAAAAAAGAAAAAAAAAAAAAACAAAAAAAACGCCTTTTTAATCATTATTTGTTGTAATTTAGCAGCATCAAAGAACCAAATAGTAGTAGGTTCACCTGTGTAATCAGTATTAAGTTATGTGATAAATGCTCATCTGCACACCCACAAAGTACTTCAGAGTTTCTCTGAAGGAGGGGAAGCCCAAGTAATAGCCTGCCCTGCCAGGCTACTCCCAGGCCTGTCACAGGAGTCATCAAAGTCGCATCTCCACAAGCCTAGAGGAGCACAGGGGCACAAGAGCCCTCCCAAAGCTGTCCCAGGAGAGCCTCTGTCCTGTGGTCCAGGCATGGAATGAGTGGCAGACTCAGTGTCTGAGCCCAGTTGCTGGAAGGATCTACTCTGTATGAGTACATTCTCCCCAGTGAACCTTCATCCAGCTTAGCCAGAGAGAGGAGGGGGATGAAGCCATTGTTCCATCTGTGTTAGTGTGAGTGCTCAGAGTGTCTGTGATCTGTGTGTGCAGACATGTATGTTCGTGGTGTATGCATGTGTCTCCTGGGAACACATCTCCAGTCTCCCTGCTGGTTGGGCCTGGGGTCACGGCGAGGCAGCAACTTGTACTGTTGCAGCCAGTGCTATATACTTGGCTCAGAAGGTCACAGTGCAAATAGGGAGTAAGATGTAAGAGGCCTTGGTCTAAAGAGTTCTAAACTTGAATTTACTGTGCAGAAAAAGGGAGAGATGATGCTGTTCGTGGTGTACAGAGAATAGAATAATAATACACATTATGTTTGGGTGTCATTTTTCTTTTTTTTGAGCTGTAAGAGCTTATTAAAATTTTCCTGGCCCTGGCTTCTCTCTCTCACCTCTTCACACAGGGTCACCATCCTTTTATCTTTGACAGCTTTGTTTATGCCACTGCTTTTACTGGCTATCTGCAGCAGACTTTTCAAGAAACTCACCCCTTGTTCTTGAATGAAAGTGGTGGTGTTTTGAATCGGCTTCATCCTGCTTTGGAGCTGGACTCAATCTATAGACTATTTGTCAAGTGGAGATACAGCTCACTTAGGGTGGTGCTGTCTGTAGTGGGAGCAGTTGCTGGGACTACAAATTTAGGGAGAAAGGATTGAATTTGGAGGCAAACAGAATTAAGGGAGGGAGAGAAAATGAAATGAGAGGGGAGGAATGGAGAAAGGCTGTGGAGAAAAATTGTAGGAGGGGAGTTGGCAAAGGGATTGAAGCTGAATGGTGAGCTAACAAGGAAAAGAGCATCCAGAGCTGCACTGCAGAGGTCATTAGGATGCATAGCAATTACACACATACTCTTAGCTGGAGGGCAAGCCATCAACTCGACTGCCTTTTCCAGATAGTGGGTGGCTCTTTCACTTTTTAAAGGTATGTCTACCATATTAATGCTAGCATTCAGTTTGTCCCTATATGGCCCTTGCTTTACAAGATACTGTCAGAAACATGTCTCACCAGACAATCCTTACCTCCCATTTTCCTTTGTTTTCTGCAGTACCTTCAAAGGATGCTAATTTGTCTTTTCCTGATGTGACGGGAATATGCAGAGCTTGCAAAAGAATATCTATGCATCGACCATGCTAAACTGGAATTGCATTTTAGCAGCTGTTGTGATTGTGTTATTGCCCAACTTCATATTCTAGTATTGCCTGCAGACCTCAGGTGGTTCAGGTGTCCTTTGCTTCAATGTTAAGACAATACCTAGGAAGACAGGACTCCTTCCTGCAGAATTTGTCAGGTTAAAAGATTTGTGAGTATGTGTATACATATTTGCCCACATACATTTTGTATAGATTGTTTCACATATCCACATCTATTCCTTAAGTTATCAGCTGTGCAGTATTAATTGCTTATAGTTTGCAAGTGAAATGAGCAGATGATCATTAATGCAGGCTCCCTTACTGTTTCTTAATACTCTGTACTCCAGACTTAGAGCTTTTTGGTGTTATTTGAACTTCAAGAATCTGGGTGAATATATATAGTATTTGCTGGAAATTTGATGGAGCTGTGAAAAAGGAATACAGGCTGTAATAAGCCTCTTCTTGAAGTTAACTGTGTAAGGCTGTGCAGGTGAGAGAAGCAGTTTGTAAACTCCTTCTTTTGAGACAGCATGCAGATTCTTCTGATTCTCATTCAGATATGATGCTCTTGACTTAACAGGAGCCTGGCCTGAACATAGATGAAAAGATGGAATCCATTATGCATAAAAATGTGCTTGTCCACACACATTCATATTCTGTTAGAAATTTTGCACAACTTAACATGGAATGTTCAGTTATGTCTTACTTGAGTGCTAATTGGCTCTCATTATGTTGTACTGATACTGATAATTAAAGCAAATACGGACTTGTGTATGGGCTTATATACATAGTGGTAAATCTTGTATATCTGTATATTCAGTTAAAATATCTGGTTTATTTATCTTGTATGAAGCCATGTCAAACGCTTTGCTAGATTATGGGTCCACTAACTATAAAACTCTGGCTCAGTTCAGTTCCATTAAAAATTAAACTAAAGCAGAATTTCCTGAAGTTGCAAGAATGATATATGTGTAGTCAGTTTTCTTCTTGTCTTCCTTTCCTCCCACTTTGGTTTCTCTATCATGAAATTCAGGAAGGTAGCTCTTGAAAAATTACAGATAAAGCATCGCTTTGTTTGAATAAAAGATGTGACAGTATAACAAAATTGTTTGCCTGTTAGCTTGTATGAAATAAAGTACACTGTCAAAGTCTGCCAATATTCAGATTAGAACAGAACCTCAGTGTCAACACATCATCACATCTCCTTGGAATATCCTCTGGTGTATGTCGATGGTGGGGGAGAGGGAATACAAGAATGGAAAATGTGATTTTAATTACTGTTTGCATTCTATATTTATGTAAGCAAACTAAAACAAATGTGCAGACTTGATAGCCATTGCCTTTGTTTCACACATAGAATGCCAATAATTAATGGCGGATAATGTGTTGCTTTCCACTACTGCTGACCGAAATCATTTGGCCTGTTGCCTTGAGCTCAGGAATTGGCACCGAGTCTTTGGTACCACTTCCACCTGAGGCAGTGGCTCTGATGTTTGCCAATGTTAACAACTACTTAATGCATATCCTGCAAGACCTGCAGCCAGAGGGCTCTGCTATTTCAGGGCATTTTGGAATGAGTAAAGAAATACCAGGAGCTCACTTTTCTTGCAGATGTGGGTTAAAGATGTCTCAAATTACTGCTATCATAGGAAATACTTTCTACAAATACGTTGCAGGTCTTCTTTAAGGGTAATTTTATAAAACTCCCTGTCATAGGTCACAGAATTAAACAAGGGCTTTATCTAAGTTGTTCTTCTTAACTTCAGTGGGACCCTGTATGCAATTTTAGTAATAAAAATATGAAAAAGAAAATAATTATTGTAGTGAAGAGCAGAAAAATAGTCTAGTTAAATATAATCAGGGAAAGTATTTATTAACTAGCTTTAATAAATATGATAGAGTTGCTAAAAGCTAGATTGTGGGAAAACTGTCTTCTCATATTAACAGAGTATTTATAAAACACAATGACAGCTCCAAGTGAGAGAGGAGCAGAGTAAGGAAAGAAAGGAGTCATGCAGTATCCAGAGGAAAGGTGGTTTTTTCCATTCCTCATTGTTTGAAATTGTTTTAGATTTCTAGTCATTCTCTCAGAATGTTATTCACTTCCAGGTATACATTTTTTTAATCTTCCATTAGATAAAAAAGGCGTTGGGAGAGAACAAGGACTGAACAAAAGTACTTTGTCAGCTGATCAAACATGAGCTTAGTTTATGAATGGTGTCTTTCTAATGCATACAGTGAAATGATTTTACAGTGCAGATTATTGATTAATATTACTCTGGAATGCTTAATCCTTTATCTTGATTACGTGATTGTTTCTTATTAATTAGCAGTCTTTCAGATAACAGAATTTATATATTTCCCTAGTGGATTAAGTATTAAGTATTGCTTTCTTTACTTATTTTCTGTGAGGTTTGTTGTTTGAAGCTTGTGAAATTTTATGTATTCTGCTAATCTGCAAAATTTGCGAATTCACACATTTCTGCAGCAGTTCCCTAATTGCATGCTTATTTTCATGTATGTTTGGCATATCTTACACTGTGATATGTTGCATGTGCTTGCTCCTTTGTCTGGGGCTGCTGCCTGTATTGTTTTGTGCTTCCAGATAGCGGTGGGTGTGCTCGCAAACGCGCTGCAATGTCTGTCACATTAACAGCTGTGAAGAGAGTTCAGAGTTCTCCAAACCTATTGGCCTCAGGTATAACCACTAACAGTGAGATACTACTCCTGAATGGCTTTTGTATAGTGTTATGCATTCCT